GAGTACTGGGCAGCTGTTTCGTCCTAGTTTGGGACTCTTCAGCAGCATTCATCCACCGGGATTCGAACCCAGGACCAGGAGCATCAGATTAATTTTCAAGTCAGTTCATGATTAAATCCTCCATGCAATCAAACAAAATCCCTACAAAACCAATACTTGAAAATATCCTATAATTATTTAGGTCAATTTCGTATTTCTAGTTCCTTGATTACTACTGAATCGAGATGTCAACGGCGACCCGCTTGAATCATTTTTCGAACAATTCAGTTATTTCTATGAGTCACTAAACGTACTCAAGCATATTTCTGATAGGCTTTCAACCTATAGTTCCATTGTAGATAAAATTTATTTCAATGAAATCTCACGGTGTTATAAAGTAATATTTGCTGATGACCACGTTTCGAGTACAATTTATTGCTGCTCATAATCATATCAAGGTACTTACACGTGTCGGGTGCAGATTCTATGGACAAAGATTCAGTAATCAACGTCTCTCTCCATCTACCTATATTACTTTTCAGAATTTTAACCCTCTCCCACCGTATTGTGTGGTTGTGTGTTAATGCATGCAGTGCAATGTAGTATGGAGCATTTTTCGAATTTACTTATCTTCGTGGGATCAGTTATTCTAACCTTAGCTAAATTTCTATGTTCTGATAATCCGACTACCCTCGATCTTCTGGTCTGACTCACCTATGTAGTTGACTTAACTCAGAGTCACTGCAAGCTATTTTGTAAATTATAATATTTTGTCTAGGGATTTATTTATAGGAATGGCTCATCACTTATACCAGAAATATGAAAAATATTACCAGCGATCCAGTCAAGAGATAAGAAATAGTGGGAGCGAAGAAACGAAGTTGGAAAGTTGTGTGAGTAGTGCCTTGACATGATTATGAACAGCAATACATTATGCTTGAAACGTAGTCATCAGTAAATAATACTGTATAACACTGCAGGACTTCATTGAAATAAATTTTATCCACAATGGAATTATATTCTACCACAGTGCACAAGTTCTACTCTTATTTCAACCCATAGCTGAGAATTTCTCAGAGAAGTAAAAAAAATACCATAAGGGATTATTTCATTCTTCATATTGGACAGAATTACGTCACATGACATACTTCAGATTGCTATAATGCTTAAAAGTTCTGAATGAAGAGAAATTACTGCACGATAAACTGTGCTGAAAATTCTGTATATTATGTAAACTTTCGAAGAGTATAAATCTGCTGTTATCATTATTATTGTTATTTAGGGTCTCCGTTGACGTGTTTGCTCCTAGCACGAACTCATCGACGAAGTCTGAGCACTAAATGACGTCATTTAGTAGGTAGTAACTCACAGTAGAATCCAGGATGCACATTTCATCCTGCTTGGAACTCGTCATCTGGATGTACCTGAGTGATGGTGCTCTCAGACACAGTACTTATCGGTACAAACGCCAAAGTATTTTCCAATGAAAACAATCGGTCTCCGTTAACAATTCAGTCCAATATAATCAATCAATCAATCACCGGGAAAGGTGAAAATAACTTAAATAAAAACTGACACCTATCGTAGAGGAGGTAGATCTCTTCGCTTAGTGGATAACGTTTTGGCGTTTGAAGTCTCATGGAGAACACCACCACTCACTGAAGATTGCAGGTAGTACATGTGGCTGACGAGTCCCAAAGAGAGTGAAATACGCTTCCTGGATTTCCTTTCTAGTCACCATCTACCATCTACAAGAATATCTTGTTATATTATTATTATTGTTCCCTTGTGTTCCTAGTGGAAAATAGGGCTTCAACTGCACGTCTCCACTTGCCACTTCTGTCTTCTGCTGTTGTACTTTTCACCTGCATCCATGTTAGTCCATACTGTCTCAACTCCTCTTCACACAACCTCCTCCATGTCACCATTGCACTGACGTCCCACTCGCCAGTTCCCTTTCGGCCTGGTTCTACTCGAGCAATGGCCTGACGCGCGCGCGATTTCACCCAGTGGCCTCCTCAGCCACGAGTGTCCAATCCATCCATCTCCACTTTCTCCTGCATATTTGTTGGTTGGCGACTGGTTCTCGTTTTGTTTGTTCCCAGCCATAGTTTCTTGTTGGTGATTCTTTCCGGCGAGGCCATCTGATCTTCAGTATAGAGCCAGCGAAGACAGTTGTTGGTTGATAAAGGTCTGGTCTGGAACAGGCTGTTGGAAATATTCTTTGTGAACCACCCGCCAAGTTTCTGATCCGTATAGAAGAACTGACTGACTTGACGTTTGTATTGAAAATCCGACTGGATTTTGTTGTTGATGCTGGCTGAGTGACGAAGATTTCCAGATTGGTTTCAGGTTGGTTGATGAATGTGTTTCCCGCCTTCCGGATTCTGACTGGTTTTGACATCCTCGTCCGTTCCGACTTCCTGTAGTTGAGACAATGCTCCCTAAATGATGATAACACCCAGTTTATTCTTCTTACCTGGTCAAGTTCATTTAGTTTTCACTATTATCTACTTACTATATAGAATTAGTAGTGTGATCAGTACACGTGTTAAAGAATTATTTCTTTTGTCTTTACTAAACAATTAATAATTATTTTTTGTTTCTAATGTGGGTTTATGAAAAATAAGTTCTTCTCTGAATAAGTAAACATGGCGTTTACCCACTCACATAGTAGCTGTGGATATACTGAAAAATAAAGTTAATATGTGTGCGTATATGTGTAGGCAACATATAATGTACATATTTGTTTTTAATTCGTGACAACTTACCTGATGACAGCAGCACGTATTTATTCACAGGCTGAAACTTTGTGCAATTAATCAGCAGTGAACTTCTCTTGATTATGATTTATGGCGTTACTGTTCACTTTCTAATTTAATTATTATTACTCAAATTACTAATCTACAGTTCTATGGCGTTTTCGTTATACATTATGCTTTACACAGGTGATTTTATATAATTAGCAAATAATAGTAATAATAATAATAATAATATGAATTTCTATATTTCTAGGCTAATCACTTGCCTACGATTTGTATTACATTTCTTCTGTCTTTATGAGCTTATTTCTGCTTGATAAGCAAATCTTATCTTTCAGTGCAGATTTATTTGCGCACCAACAACAGTTGGAGAGTCATTAGAAACCAGGAAGCACTAGATAGCTGTTTTGTCATAGTTTTGGACTCTTCAATGGTGATGATTATGACCTAACCTGGTAACCTGGACGCTTCGGGTTCGCCCTCTTGCTAGCGCTGAGGATGTGCACCGTTGAAGAGTCCCAAACTAGGACGAAACATTTTTAAAATTCAGTTCTCTCTGATTATTAATGATTCTCTAAACTGATATTAGTTAATGGTAATAATTTAAATACTGAATTTAATCTAAGTCTCTACAACACCTTTATTGTAAATTTTGTAGATCTACATCAATTTTACATCATGTCTGAATGTAGGGAAATTAAGTGGAAGGGTTGTATAGAGACTAATGTTTATTGTGTTTTTTTATTCATGCATCAAATGAATGAGTTGGTTTAGAATTCTTGAACTGAAATGAAACACATTGAAGCCTTATGAATAGTCACTTTTCCTAGCTGCCTAAGCCATTCAAAATCTGTACACACTTATATCAAATTAATGTAACTTGTGTTTCTGTTTAACTTCACTTTTCATGCTTTTTAAGGATGTTTTTAACTGGTAATGAGTAGATGAATGAAGCAATTTTTGAAAGCTTCCATTAGGGATAAAATTTTATTTTGATAAAGTCACACTGGTGTTGTACAGTAATATTAAATAATGACCACATTTCGAGCACAATTTATTACTGCTCATAATTATATCAATGCACTCACACAACTTTTTGCGTCATTTATATACATGAGTAAAAATGGATGATTAGACATTTGAATAAAATCAATATAAGATAATGTACATTGCGAAATAATATTAGTGTTACCAACAAAATACAATAAGATTGGAAATAAGACGAATGTTTTCATAGTCAAAATAAGTAACTTGTTAGAATGTTATAACGTACCTGAATTGAAATACATTTTAACACTATTTATTATTCTCCGATTTGACTGTTGGTAATAATATCTTCCATGCATATCTCTGATATTTGCATTGAGTCACTTGTATTGCGTATGTTGGGTGTAGACTGGATGAGCCAGGATTCAGCAGTCAATCTCTCTCACTCCATCTACCTATATTACTTCTTAGAGTTTTGATCCTCTCCCACCCTATTTTGTAGTTGTGTGTTACTGTATGCAGTGCAGTGTAGTGCTGAGCTTTTTTCTAAATCACTTATGTTCATGGGATCAGTTATTCTAACCTTAGCTAAATTCTTATGTTCTGCTAATCTCGCTACTCCTGATCTAACTCCATTATGGATAAGATGTTATTGTGTCACACAGTGTTACACAGTAATACTAACTGATGACATTTCAAGCACAAATTATTGCTCATAATCATGTCAAGTTACTCACACAACTTTTTCCTTCATTTATATGCATGAGTGAAATTGACTAGATATTTGAATAAAAATCAATATAGGATAATGTACATTCAGAAATAATAGTATGAGTGTTATTGATCAATTACGTCGGTGGCACAGTGGTTAAGACTCTCGCCGACCATGCACATGGTCCGAGGTTTGATCCCCTGCCGATGCACACCTGATATCTATGGTCGGCCTGCAAAATCGGGCTACCGATATCCATGCTGAAAATTCCATACTTGTACCAAAAATACAGTGTGGAATCAAGCTGTAATCAAAAATAAATAAAAACAAAATAAAAATATGAATGATGTTAGTGAGGATTTAAGAAGGGGCATGAATCCCTTCAGAGTTACATATCCAACATGATTATGAGTGCCGTTACAGACACGAAGCGAAACTGCATGCCAGTTAACTCGCATTTCTTTAAATTTCCTCTTGTTACAATTAAAAGTATTACAGCTTTTTTTCTAAAATAAAACACTAAGGTTTTGTTGTGTTTTTTCTCCTTCATTTAACACCAGGACACAGTTTTATTCAATGATACAATTTATTATAATATTCACTATGGACGTCAATCAGCTAGTGAATCAGATATTGAAGAGGTTGCAGTTGCTGCGGATATTCATCGATGTATTTTAGATTTCCCCAAAGGCTATGAAACAGTTGTTGGTGAACGTGGTTTAAAACTAAGCGGTGGAGAAAAACAACGTGTTGCTATCGCGAGAAATTTGTTGAAAAATCCACCAATTATGATTTTAGATGAAGTAAGTATTGTTGTTTTGTTTAGTTGTTGATTTTGTTTTAAAGCATTGACTACAGCTGTATACTACTGATTGTTTGAGATGAGTAGTTGCATCCCCTTTGTAACAGCAGAAGGCGAGACACGGAAGCCAAGGTACATTTTCAAGTGATCAGACCGTTATTTACACATATATAGTTTATATTTTTAACCAATCACTGAGCGTGGGATTTTGGTTTATTACATTCAGCGACATGAAATAGAATGTTCCAATGCAGTATTGAACTGTCGGAATATGTGAGAATAATGTCCCATTGAAACACATTTTCTGTATCAAACCACCATATTTGTCCACCCGTCAAATACTTTAGACTGAAGTTGATCCGATCTTCTTGGTGCTGGCGTCTTTGTTTGCTTGTATTTATGTGTCCAATTCCGAAGCTCGCTGGCGTCAATCCGCGTTTCCACTTTGGGAGCAGTTTATGTGATCCTGGCTGTCGCGTATTCGCCTGTGTTTTGCCTCACACTGTCATATACTGCCGTTGGCCAACCTCTCAGCGGCGTTCCAAGTAAAAGCCTCTTCGTTGATGGATCTTAAACGCCATTCAGCTCCTCAACAGCCTTTGTGTCCTGCCAGAAGAAAATGCATATATCTCCTTTTTCAAAAACTGCAGGGTATAGGCTTTTCATTTGTCGGCGGGCAGTGACACCAAATGTAACAGTAGGAGGCGAGACACTGAAGCCAAGGTATATTTTCAAGTGATCAAACAGCTATTTATATAAATACAACTTATATTCCTCAACTAGTCACTGAGCATGTGATTTTGGTTTACATTAAATGACATGAAATAGAATGTTCCAATATATATATATATATATATATATATATATATATATATATATATATATATATATATAGTATTCTGTGGCCCATGCAGCACTGAACTGTGGAAATGTGTGAGAATAATATTCCGCTGGATGACATTTTCTGTTTCACACTATACACTCACTTACACCGACCATTATTGCTTGCTAGCCAGCAATATCGAACTGATCTGTATTCGCTCATTTGCTGCTGAGCTTATCAGCATCAGTGGTGAATCCAATTCGATTCAGCTGAGACAGCTTAATCAGTCAGTCCCAACCACTTGATTTCTGACTGGCTACATGGGCAAATTGATAATACCATTAAATCAAAGTGGCCGTTTACAAACTAATTTCTAGGAAATGTGAACTAACTGATTGGAAGAAAGGCTGGCTATCTTGTCACACTACCAAAGAAGGATGACTTGAGCCTCTGTAAGATTTGGCACGGAATCATGCTTTTGTCCACACCAAACAAAATAATTAGCACGGTGGCATTTTCAACATTTACTCTACTACTAAGTGATAATGACTTCCAAATTACATGAATATTTAACTTTCATTTTCCTTCTTGTCGTCCATTTCTAAGCTAGGGAGGAATTTTTCGCTTCATAACCTTTTGATTTTACGCTTATTGCGTCACACAATAGTAATTAATTCTTGATGTAGGTGTAAAACTTGGGCATTGTAATAGGATATAATTCCATATAAGATAATTTTATTCTAAATGTCACACAATGATGCAATAGTAAAACAACTGGATGACGTTTCGAGCATAAATTATTGCTCTTCTTCTTCTTTGTCTAGAGTTGTTTGCCTTCACTTTTGACATACTTGCAGGCGGACTTTTTCTCAGGTCAATTAGAAACAAGCTTTGTCGGCCAGTCCTGTGGAGCCTTTAAAACAAAACAATTTAGTTTATCTAATACCCTGCTGGAATAATTGTCAGATCAGATGCAAAGTTCAAAGTAGTAAAACAGGGACAGTCAGACCAGCAGAGCATAAAAACCTAGCAGCAAAATCTAGATTGGTTGACCCGAATAAGATAAGAAATCTAGAGAACAGTTCAGTTATATCACTCATTACATGCAGTTACACACAACCATACAATAGGATGGGATGGGATAGGATGACAGTTTTAAAATTTAATGTAACAGCGGGGTGGAGGGAGAGATTGATAACAACGGAAGCTTTGTTTATCGAATCAACTGCAAACACGTGTAATAGGAATGATTCATCACCTGTTTATCCGGATATCTGGAAAATTCTACTACCCTTACGACAAATAGGAGAGGACAAAGGAAACTATAAAACTCAAGTTTCAAAGTCGTATGATTACAATTGATATGATTACGAACAATAAATTTTGTTCGAGACTGTGTCATCCAGTAAATAATACTGTTTCACTCACTGTGTGATACATCTTATAAACAAACCAGTATGGAAAGACTGGAGTTTCGTCTGAATACTAGTTTTCTAAAAGTTTTCCTGCCACCTTTCCACCCTCCTCATAGGCTACAAAGATTCTCTTTTATTTCAAACACTATTATCACTACACTGTTTGCTGCCTTAAAGGCTTCATTACGAGCTAACCTCGGTTAGAGAATCACTGGAAAATCCATGAGGTGTACTGGACAGCTGTTTCATCCCAGTTTGAGACTTTTCAGTAGTACGCACCCCTTGTAATTCAAAGTCATTGCCTTTTGGTCACAAGGGGAGCTTGCAGATCATTCAGCCACCGGGAACTTATCCAATGGTCCATGAATTCATGATTAGTGGTGGAAGCGCTGTTTAGTACTCTCTGGTTTTCAAAGGGTTCTCTAACTCACTAAACATGTAACTAGTTAAATCCTTACAAACCAATACTTAGAAAATTTTCCTCATTCATAACAGTAATATTTTCAGATTAAGGCAATGATTTCCTCATTGAGTGACAGTTTACCCACCAACCTTGCATGTATTCTCCTGTCTATGTTCACATTCAGAATTTTAATGATAAGATTATACCCTAAGCTCTTGTTATGTTTTTCAATAATAATAATAACAACATGGTAAGCCTGTTTCATATGTGATTATTGATTATCTGACGAAACAAAAAAGAAGCTATGACTACTCGTATGCCTATTTTAATATTCATTGTAATTGACCTTTTTTATGATTGGTTGTCAGTACAAATTCTGCATAGTTTTTGTGTTTAAAAAAGCAGTTTATTGCTGTCTGTTGACTTATAACAACATTTAAATTCGGCTGATCCCACATTCCATAGTGTATGTTTCGATGTGGAACATTAAAGAGATATTCCTTCTGCTAGCATAGGCTGGTTTGTAGTGTAAAATTCAAAACTACAAATATCTAATCTGAATTTAAAAACAAATAAAACAGATTGTCAAGACCATCTACTATCCTGTAATTGATATAATGTCAATCTGGAAGAAACAGACAACCATAAAGTCGTGTGATGATGGTTTGGATTCGCCATCCGAATTCGCCAACAACTCAGTGAGTGATAACTTTCCCAGTGTAGTTCGAACCAAAAATGAAATGAAAATGAATCAGTTATGGGGTAGTGTGTAAACAACGTGTCGTCGGACCTCAGAACCATTTACATAATGACACCGCCAGGTACCACTAATTCCACACAAACAGTAATGGTCGAACACTCAAAGTTGCCGCGTACCTTCAGCTTGAAAAAACTAAATTTCACAAGCGTAAATCAAGACTGAACGCGATGAAGAGTTATTAGCTTTACTTATAACGGACATACTAACTTTGCGACGACACCAGAGAGATAACCAAGGCTGGGATATGTTTCCATGGCTTTTGATGTGCTATTAATTATCTAATCCATCACTTCTCAGTTAATACTCACACAACCATCTAAATATCTGGACTTCTAGATTAATTACTACGCATATTGTGGCGTGTGGTACTGATTAGATCTATCAGTAATATATAAGATATCAAATATAGCAGAGGTAGGTTTGACGATAAATACAGGAAATAAATCAGTATTGAGACAAAACATGGGAGACATGCAAAAGTAAATAAAGAAGCACAGTACGAGGGGCAGAAGCAGTACAGCCTTGAATGACGATATCCAGATATGGTGTATATAATTTCACTATATAGGGATATCAAATTCCAAATACACATTCCTTTATCAAGTCTGCCATCTTCTACCGTTACACTATGATAGTACTTTGCACTTAGGTGCTGACAAGTACATACCATAATTTCATTGCCTGTATTATCTGAGCTACATGCTAAAGGTCAAAATGTTTTTCTCCAGATATACAGTACCACAGTGCACACCTTCCACAAAGGTTTTCAGGAGGTTACTATAGGTGTTTTCAGAGGAAAATGGTGAAATTTGTTGATTATATCTGGAATATTGAGAAACCTCTCAGGAGCTCTTCCCTCTTAGAAAAGGTTTGAAAGGACATCCCTCTCTAACGAGTTGAAGGCAGACCTGATATCAAATTATAAAACTGATATTTGTCTGCAATATGTCTGTGTCCATTAGATCTAAAAGTCACCCAACCTGATCTTCACAAATCCATCTTCCATGCTTTACACAAAGCCTAAAGAGCATGACGTCACAGGTGACAAACTAATATCTTGATGACTGTTACGCACAATAAGTTGCCGGTATTTAAATGCAGATACAGTGATGGCTTCAATTTAAACTAGTGAGACTCATAATTTAACATACTTCCCCAGATTATCTAGTCACTTCCCTAACTAGAGTCTCAGCACCACCACCTTTAAAAAGAGCTGGGGGCATATTGTCTGAACCGGGTATTTGAGCATATAAAATTTCTACCGAGCTTTTACTTCCATAGGTAGGCTGAAGTTAGCCGGGCATGGGACTCTGTGATTTACAACAATGAATACTCACCTTTTCGGCCAGCTGAACTAATTTTAAATGTTCTCTGTTTAGCATTCCATGAATCTGTTTAGGCTGTAAACTTGCATGTCATGTGCCTTATAGACCATCCCACTGATTCATGTAGTGAAAATATAACCCTCTTTTGAGAGATTCGAAAAAAAGGCCAACAAATCTGAAAGGTAGAAACAACACAACAACCAAAGCAACTTTAGTAGGACCATCTGATTGGTTGAAATTGGTTTTCATCTTTGTATCTTAGGCAGTGGAAATTTGCCATCCAGTAGACTTATCGAAAGTCAGGGAAGACTTTGAAATGATACATTGATTGTGCAACAAACTATGCATTGAAATGGTTTAGGTTTAAAACGAGTGAGATTCTGTTATCTGTTAATATTATCTCTGTTTCAAACAACTAGTTGAGTTGTGAGCATTTTATTTTCCTGTTAAACATTAAAAACACAAACTGAGGAATTGAAAGTTCCTCTATTACACAGGATACCTTCTTTTGATTAGACATTAGATAGTAACTATGTCGTGTACCTATTCCTTGGTATAAGTGCAGACTAAATATAGGTATCAGTCAGTTTTTTAATGTGGTGACTCACTAGGTGGAAGGGCTAGACGCATGACATAAGTTACTAGCTAATGTCCATTTCAGCCCTACAGGAGGTTAATTGCAAGCGTGAATATCTCAGTCGTAACGTCTCTGGCTGCAGCACTTTGTGACCTCAGTTCGAATTTCACAAGGCACATGAGTTCCTTCAAGATTCCAGGTACGCCTTGTCTGTCGACTCGTGAGTGACAATGAGAACGAAACTTATAGTCAAAGACTTCCTGTAGATTGCCTTCAACCATCCAACAGCAATAGTCTCCTTTGTTGTAGCTGAACTCTTTTGGTATTTCTGAGCTCAGTATCCTAGTAATTTGATCAGTGACTGTGCTACTCAATGGCGAAATTGTTCACTGTTTACATGACGGTGAATAATTGCAGTTAAAATTGTCATAATAATGTGAGTGAGATTTTCAACGGAATTATAAGCTGATATTCAAAGCTTTGTCAATAAAATGCAAAGCTAGACTAGAGTATAAACTCCTGAAACACTATTTATTGCTTAACTGAACAGTTTTCGCGAATTTACTTCATGATTCTTTTGTCATCCAATACGTTCTTTATCTGACACACTAACCATTATTCCCTTCTTATCCAACAGTCGAATCTTATAAATATCCTTAGTGTCCCTGCTTGATTCAGAAACATACATTTAGCATAATGTAATGTTTTCTGTACGAAACTAGAAACTCTTGGAACAAAACAAACTAAGAACCTATTGCTCAGCAAACATGCCGAACAGATTAGAGATGAATCGGTCACACACTGAGAAGACTGTCGAATGACACCGCGCGCCAGGCCAGGGGTTGAGTGTAATCCGGATGGGAATCGACGAATTGGGTGTGAGTCCTAGGATGACATAGAGGAGATCGTATGAGGAGGAGATGAGAGACTACAGGCAGTCCTGGAACCGCAAAGAATAGGGAAAAGTGGAGAAGTGTTGTTGAAGTCCTCTACGTTCCACTCGGAACCCAAGAGAATAATAACAATAATAGTGTAAGGTGTTCTAAATGTATCATCTAATATTTACCTAGATAAATTCGCATCCAATCGATATTATTATTATTATCTTACAGCCTCTTAACAGTTTCCATTAATATATTTGTCTAACTTTTTTTTCTAGGCTACATCAGCTCTGGATACAGCAACAGAACGTAATATTCAAGCTAGCTTAAATCGTATTGCACAGAATCGGACAACTTTAATAGTTGCTCATCGTTTATCGACAATAACTCATGCCAATGAAATACTTGTTCTACATGAAGGTGAAATTGTCGAACGTGGAAAACACTCTGAACTATTATCAAATCCCAGCAGTCGTTATGCCCAGTTATGGCGTCAACAAAGTGAAGCACAACAATCATCTTCACCATCAGTGAACAACAACACTGAACAAGCATCAAATGATACAGCTAATACAACACATCGTCATCATCCTATTCGTGTCTAATTATTTCGATTGACTTTTAGATAGAATTATAAAAATTTTTTATCTTTTTAGAAGGGTTACACTTCTTTTTTTCTCATTTCATTAAACAAAAATGCCTTTTTTTATGAATATTATTATTGTTGAGATGTGTATGATTGTAATGCTGTTGTTATAGTAGTGATCTGATCATTTGTGTTGTATAGTAAGTACATTGATCATTCAGATTGTACTGACATTACTTCACCATGTATATGTGTGTGTGTCAGTGTGTGGGTGTGCGTACGTGCGTGCGTTGTAAATACATTATTTATGCCTACCTAATTCTTTGAGTACATACACATAGAGATACAGTCACACACACTAATACATATATATATATATATATATATATATATATATATATATATATGTGTACACTGTGTAGCATGAATATAGATTTCGTCTAATGTCATCGAATTTCACTTTAGTAGTATTGTCGTTTATATATAAATGCGCAGCTAGTCAACTTAAACAATGAATACGCCTATCTAAACCTTGCGTCATGTTGCTTGCTTGCCTCTTCTTCTTCTATTCTTCTTTGCCTACTTGTAAACGGCATGTTTTCATCGTTGTCATTGTTAATATATTTTCTTTTCTTTTGTTAGTCAAAGAGATATTGTGTCATGCAACTGCCATGTTTTCTGATGTACTTCATCGAAGCTAATAGACATTAGGGCATAACTAATGCCAAGCGTCTCGCCTTTCGTTTAGTGTAGATTGAATTCTATCATTCAAGATTGTAACGTGGCTACCTCTGCTAAGTGTCTTGGTATCACAGTATCGAAATCAGGAGATTAGTGTACGAATGTGTATTTTTTGAAGTCAGTTGGTGGATGGTGACTAGCAGTGGAAACCAGGATAAAGCGCATTTCGTCCTATTTGGGACTAGTCAATTAGGTCGGTGTGTGGCGGACCTTAGACTCTGCTAACTTAACATACCAAATTCGAATAAAAATAAAAATATCAAATCAGTAAAGTTAGTGGAGAAATATATTAAAATTTGTTACTTGGGTTATTACAAGGTCCAAACCAACAATTAACGTAGTAGATAGACTTCAGAAGTATTATGAGAAGACTGCTCCAATCTTAATTCTCCAATATCAATATTGCTAGAGGTCGACCAAGGTAACGTTATGAGAAAATACGGCGTCCCTGCGAAATTTTGAAATAGAAGGTAGGTGATTAGAATTGGCCGATGGCAGTTGAGATAGTGGAGAATACGGAGAGTTGTAGGCAGAACTATATTTCCATTCAAACAATGAGGTTAAGTTCACAGTACAGAGATTCTAGTTAAAACAAAGTAATGTACAATATGTTCATTTCTTACGTAGTAGTAAAAGTTGGATAAGTTTATTTTTGAGGTCTTCACAGGTGTACCTGCATTCCCCAGTGAGTGGTGGTGTTCCCATCGAGACTCCATCCCAATGTCCGTAGTTTCAAACACCAAATCGTTAACTTCTAGACCACTTGGACCACGACAGCCACCTCATGTACAACAGGTCTAATTAGTTATTTAATTCAGTTTATGGATGCGAATCCTGGTGGATTTCAATGACAGTCACTATCCACCAACTGAATGAAGCTACATGATCAGACATCGTTGAAGAATCTGCGCAAGGAGCCGACATGTCAACCTGAGACCTAGCACTTCGGTCCAATCAATCAATGCAAAAATCTAAAGTGAATTAAAGGATGTTTATTTCAGTTGTAATATTGTGTACACATCGACTTATACAGTCTCGACATCTTATTTGTCGAATTTTGCAGCGTAAAGCAATCACTGGATGAGACCTCAAATTAACATGAGACACATCCGTCGATTGTATTGTAGTCAATTCTTGTGAAGTTAGAGTTGTGGTCGCATAGTTCATAATCGATACTCAATCCTACTTTGGGTGGTTGATTAACATCTCCGAGCCTTCCCAGCGCCTGGTGGTTTTAAATTTCCTGCAAGCTTATGTCATTTCATGATGGAAACTACTACTGAATGAAGTTCAGTACCGTATAATCACGTTTATCATGGTTTATCTGTAATCTTAATCCAAAACATCTTAACAGTGTAAATAAACTGACTATTAAAATTAGCTCATCTGTTAAACTCTATACTTAATCCTGATGCATAAGTTAATATTATGACGGAGGGATACAACGTTAGTGGTTCGTCTAATTTGACTGGAATACCCCTCTATAACAAGACACCAGAGCTAACTGACCAACTAAAATTATTTGCAATTAATAGTGTTCTCTGAGCTGGTTGGTTTAGTTGCGGAGCTTTCGTCGTCCTTCTGGATAACATCCCCTTTCAGCGCAGTATTTAGCATAAAGTCAAATGATTTAAAATCTCCATGAATGATGACACAATTCCGTCTCCTGGTGACCAACCATCTTTATATATGTACTGACCGTTTTCTATTGATTGGGATTTTAAACCTTCTGGCCACATGATTTACTTTTTATTAGTTGGTATATTTGGTCTATATGTTAACGTGTTTGTTAACTGCATATTCGTTTCAGTACCAGGCTTCTAGGAATTCCCTGGCACATTTGGTGTTTCCTTTGTTTAAGATTTTGATATTATCCCAATCAAATTGATGTCCATAATTGTCTGTATACATTGATACTAAAGAATTTATATCATGTCTTTTCACGGCTGATTTGTGTTCTTGGATTCTTATTCGAATGGGACACCCACTTTGGCCGATGTAATGTTTGTTACAGTTCATACAATTTATTTTGTAAATGATCTCAATTTTATCTCCTTTTTCTATCGGATCTTTTGGTTTACATAAGATCGAAATAAGCGATTCGGCTGGTTTGTGTGCTACATCTATATCAAACGGTTTCATTATTCTAGCCGTTATTTCAGAGATATTTTTGATGTATGGTAGGATGAATTTCCTTATGGTCTTTGGTGATGGTTCTTTGTTGGTGCTTTGATTCGACTTTAAACGTTTTTTGATGAAATTTTTGTATAACCATTCTTCTTGAAGACCGTTTTTAAGTATTTTCCTTCCATTCTCTTCAACTCTGGTGTGCTACAAAGTGTTTGAACTCTTCTAAACAATGTCTGCACACAGTTTCTTTTGTGAGTAATTGGATTATTGTTAGAATAGTTGAGTATTTGATCTGTTTGCGTTGATTTTCTATATACTTGTGTTTCTAAATTTCCTGTATTGGTTCTCCTGAACTAAACCAACCAGCTCAGAGTACACTATTATTTGCAAATCATCCACCTGAGTTACAAATCTTTTCTATTATTTCAACTGAAATTATCTCCTACACTGAGGAAAACGACAACTTTTATTAGATTAAATGGTATGATATATTATATTTATGTGAATAATGAGCATACTAATCTGATTGGTCATATGACATAAAAGTTCCTCAGAAAATTAAGCTACAAATAAACCAATCAAAACTGTCCAATCTGCTTTCGCCTCCTAACAAAATCAATAAATAACCTTGGTTCGCTGAAGTAGACATAAATAAGTTAACTTTCTATAGTTTGGTTTGTAAGGATTAGTTATGTTTTACGAGTTGATCACGGATTGATATCAGTTAGAGAACCATTGAAAACCAGGGAGTACTGGACAGCTGCTGTTTCATCCTAGTTTGGGAATCATCGGCAGTACGCACCCACTGGGTTTCGAACCCAGGACCTTCCGGTTACAAGGCAAGCTCGTATACCATTCAGCCACTGGAACCCGATTCAATGGCTCGTGAATTCTAACTTCTACCAATTCGTGATTTAGCGCGACCCCAACCATTGTCGTTGGTGGGACATCCATCCACACACGTGACATCTAATTGGACCTCACTGGTCATGACTTCTCACTAGAACTCAGGAAACTCCAACCTGTAGCAAGTCACTAGCGAGCATCAGATTAACTTTCTATAGTTTGGTTAGTAAGGATTAGCAGCTGTCCAGTACTCCCTGGTTTTCAATGGTTCTCTAACTGATATCAATCCGTGATCAACTCGTAAAACATAAATAAGTTAATTAAACACCTTTATGTAAAATCTATCCTACTGTATACATTTTTATTCAAATTAAAAATAATGATAATAACAATGAATAAAAATAAGTTGTTTATTATTTTTTAATTTTAATAAAATGTAGCATGGAAGTATTAATTTGATACTGTCTATCGCATAGCTTTCAATTAGTTGATCTAGGAATTTCTGTTCATTGTCTAATAATAATCACTAAAACTTGTGCATACAATTAACTTAGTTATTTTAGAATGATATAAGTCAATCTGTTAATTATGCCAATGATAATAATAAAAATAATAATAATTAGTTAAATCTAATAGTAATACAATAAGTGACAAAAATACTATTTAATCAGTTTTCTCTATTTCATGAACAAATTTTTTTTTGTATAGGTAATTAGTTGAATAAAATAAATACCAGTTGATTTAGGCCATGAGTGTACATTCTGCTTGTCTAATTGTAGCTTGAATTTTAACAAAAATTAATGCCTTGCTAACTGATAATGATAATGATAGCGTGTTGAATAACAAATAAAATTTTTCTGTTTACTGTTTACTGTTACCTAGTAACACTTATGCGGGAAAAAAATATCATTGTCATTTTCAATCGATGCTGATAAGTTATCATAGGTTATATGATATGATATATATATATATATATATATATATATATATATATATATATACTGATATTCTACATTCACTATCTGATTGTTCTTCATATAAAAAAAGGAGATTTCTTCCTTTCTCCAATAAATGGATGTCTCTAGACTATATGATATGAAGAGAAATTCAATTCACAAGTCATAAGGAAAAAATTGGTTGTTGTCATTACTTATTACTTTATTGAGTAGTAGACTGGGTACATTATTGTTAAAAAGGATTATTCAGTCCAATTAATAATCCCCATTCAGGGGTTAATAGAAAATGAACAAGTAGTTCAACAGTGACTTACTGACTCAATGGGTTTCAAAATAGAACTTTGCA